TCAATGCTTTTTTTTTTTTTTTTTTTAATCCTTTATTTGTCAACTAGTGAATTGCCCCTCAAGAATGTGCCACCACCTCGTGCTGCTGCTGCCGCCTCCTGGAAGGAGCGGGGGGGAAGGAGGAGTTTGCATGTGGCTGCTGCTGCCAGCCACCAGCCTGCGCTGCTGTTGCTTCACATCCAGCCCTGTGACACCCCTCCCCTGCATTCAGCTGCCTGTCTGTGTGTCTGTCTATGTAGAGCACTCTGATTAGTTATTTCAGTAAGCATTGTGATTGGCTGCCAAGTGTTATGGACAGACAGACGCAGAGACAGATGAGTGACTTGTACCTTTTCATGTTCCTTTAAATTTTTACATTAATATAATCCTTATCTAGATGCCCTATTGACATGCAGGCATCATAGTAACTGATTCTCTTAAAAGGGTTGTCAGGAACTTTTATTGGTGCTACTGCTAATCAGCCAGTAGAGGCTGTTGTTGAGAGAGACTAAGGAGCTAGACGTGTCATCTTGATACTTCTCTCCATCGCATGGTTTTTGGGGGGCCCAAGTCTGTTATTGATGTGTGCTAGCTTTTAGCATTTCCAAGTCAGCTACATTTTTTTCCGTTCAGTTCAGAAGAGGCTATGAGCACTATTGCCTGCAGGAAGAAACTGAACCTTTTAAAAATACTAGCTTGCTGAAAACACCAGCCTATTCAAAGCCAGCTAAGATTTGCTTAAATTCTGTTTTGTAAGATGTTGATCTAGCTGACCTGAAATCATGTTGGTTAAGATCTAAATTTTCAAAAGAATCTAGGTGCCTCCACTTGCCTATATTTAGACCCTCAAGGACCAACACTTGAGAGAAGAGTTCCTTGCCACTTTCTGAAATTTAATCCTCTTCTAAAAGGTTTTTCAAGTTAGGCACTTGGTAATGAAAGAACCCAAATCCCCAGTCACTTCTGAAAGTGGCTACTAAGACACTCGGATATCAATGTTCAGATCTAGTAAAATGGGAAGAGATCTTTTTTACACAATTGAATGGTATTTTAAGCCAAACTGTAATGTCTTCATTTTTAGTTTTCCTGCTGGCACTTGTGTGTTGTCTGTGCAATGCCATTAGCAACTTACCAGTATGTAGGCCCTGGATCAGACCTAAAGTGGAAGGAAAACTATTTTGTGATCAGGATTTGGATTGGAGAATACTCCATGTT